AGTCAAAGGGCTTAAATGATACTACTCAAGCAGTGTTTGTGATTAATTGTAGACATATTTCAATTTACGATAGGGAGGATGTGCACAATGGACATACCTCTGGGTGAAGACGAACGTCCAAATTGGTTAGAGCTTGTGGTGCCATCGCGCTGAGGCCAAAGCACGCTCACGTAGCCAAATCTCATAAATGCCGCAACTAAATCATCGCTTGAACTGTCCCAAGGAACGCCGCCAAGGAAGACCTTCCGAGAGAACGTCATCGATTTATAGTTGCGGGAAGGCAGCTTGCCGGACCAGTGATAGGCTGCCTCACTCTTATTTGCCACAGTGCCTAAATAATGAAAAATCTTTATAGATGAAATTAATACTTTGAGATTATAAATAACTCAGAAAATTTTATTAGCTTGTTATAACGCACTGATGCTCCCTTAACATTAACATATTAGGGGTAAACTGCTGACGATTAAGTAAGAAAGTAAGTATATATTCCTTGTGAAGTAAATAACCCACTCTTATAATTGAAATTAATAGTGGAAAAATTCCTGGCCTTCTCTGAACTTCATATTTGCCTTCCGACCCAAGGGCACTCGTGGCAATGTAGCGTAGGGATTAACGTGTCGAGATTACACACTGCATTGTTATGGTTCGAGTCCCGCTGGGGGTGTTTATAATACCTAGGCGAGGTCAAAACTGCAGTATACTCTGGGTGAGAATATCTTTTGGGAAATCAAAGCCGTGAAATTCAATGGCAACGTCATGTCTACTCATATCATTGTGGGTAAAATGATCTACCAGTCCTTCAACGAAATAGGGTGTACACAGCTCATATATCTGACTTACGGGTAGTCTCGGAAGTCTACTCGAAACGAAAGATAGAATAAGAAGGCTGGAAAACATTGGCAGGTAACTTCAAGGTGGAGGAGATAACAGGATTAAATTAGGTTAAATTTAAAATTTAATACTCCGTTTTTGCTAAGGCATCTGCTGCCAATAAGCTCCACTGTCAGAAATGATTTATGAAATTGTTCCACTTTACATATACC